TTGGTTGCCATGGCAACAACACTATCAACTAAACTTGTTTTGAGCCGTTGTTTACCATAGCTAAGTTAGAAGCCTTCTGTGCACATGGTTCCCCAGATAGACCACCCCTGGAAGTTTTACACTAAATAACAACTGACCCACTCCTTAATATACCTGAGTATGCAATAATTTTTCCTTGAGCCAAAAATTTATTTCATCAATTTTGTTTGTTTTTTTTTTTATTTTTTCAGTTCTCGTAGAAGGAGATCGTCTAACAGTGTGGTATTTACAAGCGATTTGGTTCATATTCTGCCAGATTATCCAAAGCAGTCACCTAGTGATTCTCAAATCGCCTTGTTAGCTTTCTATATACAACATCCCCAAGGGTTCTCGGATGCTGCCATAAAAAAAGACGTCCTAAAAGCCATCGTGGAAAGTGATACATCGAGCATTGGAGGATCGGTGGGCGGTACCATCTTAAGCGTTCAACCTTTAATCTCCACTACAGAAACCACAGAAGAAAGTGACGAGGAGCCAAAATCAAAGCATGCCATTATTATAGGAGCTTCTGTGGGGGGTGCCATATTGATCGTTATTCTCATCGGTATTGTGCTTCGTTGCAAGGGAAGGAAAAGGTAAAGAACATCAAACAAAACGAGTGGTACTCAATTAATTCAGTTAAATACTTATATTCTCTGTTATGGAATAGCCAAAAAACACTTGCTATCTTTCGCTGTTGATTGATATCTATCTAATATTATGCCAGTGTTTTTAACGTTAATACACCCTTTGCCATACAATACCGCAGAATATATTTTTCTTAGTATCACTTAGTAGCAGAACGCTAGTCAATTGGCGGTGGTGTTTTTGCTCTTGTTTGCAATTTTTCAAGGATGATTGTTTAATTGACACCTTTGGGTAAAAACAAAGGAAAAAGACGAATGCACGCTTATAGCGCTGAATAAATGACATCGCAATACTATCTCATTTTCGTCAGAAAGGAAAAAAGAATATGCGGACTAAGTTGCTGAATAATGTTAATAGCTTGTGAATTGTAATACAGTCGAACCTTTATATATCTACCACACTCGGGAGTTAACGAACCGGCCGCTTAATACAGGATCACTAAAAATACTCACTGGGCGTGGTCTAATTTCAATTTTAATGGCGTATCTACAAAAGTACTTCATGTAAGGAAACAAGAGGGCAATCAACATTCTTTCAAGCGATCGATTTACTTATTTATTTGTTTTTTGCAGCAAGGGGCAAATAACAGACAAGACAGTCAACAACAGTTACAACAACGATGCCTATTATATCAGTTCTGGAGAGCAAGCCAGAAAAATGAACCGTGATAACGCACCTGATATGAAGCCCCAAGAGCACTACTATGCGTCAATTCGTAACCCGCCTGCACCGCATACAAACAACTCCTCTGTGGCCCTTACGTTTCCACATGCTAGAGCAGAGAACAGCACCGAGGAATCTACCGCATCTATTTACCAACCACTTAACGTTGCAGCTACTGCACCTGTCTACCAGCCAATCAACAGCGGAGATACTGCACCTATCTACCAGTCACTCAACAGTGATACTAAGACTCCAGAAGTCCAGGCAGATAACAACAGAAAGGGCACTATGCCCAACGGTCCACCAACTAACCAGTGATCTTAAGCGGTGATTCAGAAGACCAGGACCATATTGTTCAAAGCCCGATAGAGCTAACCCAGGATTAGCAAGCATTTTAATTTAGTTTTGTAACTTTGCGGTGAGGTTTTCTGTTTATTATATTGTTTGTTCTTCAGTTTTGAGCTTGTGTAATCGCAAAATACATAAAACATAAGCAGTGAAATTCAATTCTTTACTAGGAAATTTAATAATTCCTTAACTTTTAATACTCGCTTAGCGTTAACCGGCTTTCCAGAAACCCGGCCCTGAACAATAAAATAGACGGATAGGCTCAACAAGGTGATTGGTACTTAATAGCCCTTTTCACGGTTAGCTTTGCTGATTTGCATTACAATAAAATCTGGCATGTATGCGAGGCAATTTCAGGCTATATTGTAGTTTTAGTCCGAAATTGCCTCGTATTCACGTTGGACTACATTATAATGCAAATGAGAAAAACTAG